GGAACTGGGACTGGAGATTGGGGGCACTGGGAGCGACTGGAAGTACTGGGAGGGACTGGGAGCACTGGGAATAGGGACTGAGATGAACTGGGATGGACTGGGAAGGGTGGAGGGGAAACTGGGAGGAAACTGGGAGCAACTGGGAGAGGAGATTGGGGGCACTGGGAGCACTGGGAATGGGGACTGGGGGAACTGGGAGCAACTGGGAGGGAACTGGGAGTGATCAGAGGGGCACTGGGAGCACTGGGAGCAGGGACTGGGATGGACTGGGAGAGAATGGGAGCGGGAATTCGGGGGACTGGGATGGGCTGGGAGCAACTGGGAACGGGCTGGGAACAACTGGGATGGACTGGGAGGGAACTGGGAGCACTGGGAATGGGGACTGGGGGAACTGGGATGAACTGGGAGCAACTGGGAGGGAACTGGAAGTGGAGATTGGGGGCACTGGGATGGACTGGGAGCACTGGGAATAGGGACTGGGAGGGACTGGGATGGAACTGGGGGGGACTGGGAGTGAACTTAGCACCCCCCCCTCTCCAGGGAGCGGATTTTTGGTGATTTTTGAGTGAATTTTGGGGTTAATTTTGGCTGATTTTTTGGGTGATTTTAGGGTGACGTTTTGGTGGATTTTTGGGTTCTTTTTGGGTGATGTTTCAGTGAATTTTTGGGTGATTTTTGGGCAATATTTCAGTGGATTTTTTGAGTGAATTTCGGGTGATTTTAGGGTGATATTTCAGCGGATTTTTGGGTGAATTTTGGGTGATTTTAGGGCGATACTTCAGCGGATTTTTGGGTGAATTTTGGGTGATTTTAGGGCGATATTTCAGTGGACTTTTGGGTGAATTTCGGGTGATTTTATGGCGATATTTCAGTGGATTTTTGGGTGAATTTTTGCTGATTTTTGGGCAATATTTCAGCGGATTTTTGGGCGCATTTGGGGTTAATTTTTGAGTTAATTTGGGTCCATCTCCTCCCCGCAGGCATGGCGGGCGTCTCCTTCGAGGAGTTCTCGGCGCCGCCGGGCGCGGAGCTGGCGCTGGAGCCGCTCTTCGGGGGGAACATTCTGGAAAGTGAAGGCGAGCCCGAGGCGGGGCCCGAGGGGGGCGGGGCTGCCCCGCCCCTCCCCCCCACGCCCCGTCCCCCGCGCGGGGGACGCGGCCAGGAGCGGGGGGGGGAGGGGCGGGGGGGCGAGGACTCCCCGGAGCGGCGCCGGCGCCGGATGAAGCTGCAGGCGCTGGGCCGGCGCTGCCGCGAGATCCGGCAGGTAAGGGCCGGGACACGCCCGCCAAGATGGCGGCGGGGTGGGCAACATGGCGGTCGCGCCCGCAAAATGGCGGAGACACGCACAACATGGCGGCCACGGCCACAAAATGGCGGAGACACGCACAACATGGCGGCCACGGCCACAAAATGGTGGAGACACGCACAACATGGCTCCCGCGGCCACAAAATGGCGGAGACACGCACAACATGGCGGCCACACCCGCAAAATGGCGGAGACGCGCACAAGATGGCGACCGCGGCCATAAAATGGTGGGTGCGCAACATGGTGGCCATGACCACCAAGATGGCGGCCGGGACCAGACAATGGCAGGCACACAAGATGGTGGCCACACCCGCCAAGATGGCGGGGAGGGGGTGGGCAACATGGCGTCCATGGCCACAAAATGGCAGAGACATGCACAACATGGCGGCCACGGCCATAAAATGCCGGGTGTGCAACATGGTGGCCATGACCACCAAGATGGTGGCGGGGCGGGCAACATGGCGGCCACGGCCACAAAATGGCGGAGACACGCACAACATGGCGGCCGCGGCCACAAAATGGCGGAGACACGCACAACATGGCGGCCACACTCGCAAAATGGCGGAGACACGCACAACATGGCGACCGCGGCCATAAAAT